CTACATTAAAACGAATTCAGAGTGTAATAAAGGTTCCAACCACCCGGAGCAAGAACAAATAAAAGCAAATGTAATGATAGAAACCTTAGTCAGTTAAATAACATGCTGCTAGTGTTGCTGCTATTTTCAAATAGCCATTACTGTAAAAATGTCCATAGCTGGATATTGGTCATTTATTCTCCAGGTGCACAGTTTTATATTACTTTACAGTATTTTATTGTTTATATTTCATATTTTCCCTATTATGTTAGTCTTATACATTTTTTTAAGGTCCATGTTTGTGTGACCATTTTCAATAATCTTTCTGCTGCTGTAAATTTGCCCATTGTGGGACTCTAAAGGGATTTATCTTTTCTTTAGAAAGCACGGGTGTTTGAATATATTCGTCTATTTTTAGCAAAGGCTGTGGAAAAGAATAGTTTGTCTTTATCTAGAAAATATGGATGTTTTGCACATCATTTTTTCTGTTGGGACAGTGTAGATTGACCCTGAGATTTTGGTGCCTATCTGCTTTCGGCCCCCCCTCAGTGTACATTGGTTATTGGCTGGCCACCCTTATAAAACTTTCCTGGCTCCGCCTCTGTTACTGAGTAACAATAAGTGGTCTGTAGTTATGCGGAATATTTTTCTCAGAATATACATTATTTTCTACATTCTGGTGATTTTTAGAGAATTGAAGTATAGCAGAATGGGCCCCACTAAAATACTTGCATCTTAAATATTCTTAAACTAAGAATTTCACAACTTTGTTCATTAATTATTCTCTGCAGTTCAAGTAAATTAAACAATGGAGAACTAATAAGGTATGACTAGATTACTGGCACTGATACAGGAATCAGTGCAATCGAAACCTATGCAAACTAAACTGTGTATGAATATTTGGTAATAGGCTAAAGATTAAAAAAATTAATTCATTATGTTATTAGTTTTTCTTACAGTTGACAAAACAGCTAAACAATTCAGACCTTCTAGGAGGCTGTAGATTTTATAAAAGCTCACTATGGCAGGAGAATGTTTGGAAGGGGTGATGGAAAGTTTTTAAACATATTCAATGGACATGAATAAGACAAGTAGTAATAAAAGAGGAACATCCTTGTGGTTTCTCCT